TGCCGTATACGGGATGTCCCGTTCACGCATGAGGATCTGATAGAATCCATCCATCAGATCCATGGACGAAAAGATGGTACTCTTTGACATACCATCTATGATTACGTCCTTCCTCGGTATCGGCGTCTGAGCCGGTACCGTTGCAGCATTCAACTTGTTGAATGCGTGCACTATCCGCCACCCTCCTGTGGCCTTTCGCACACAGAAGGTCGGAGAGCTGTGAGGGGATGTTGATTCCCTCACATGGCCCGCTGCTAAGCGATCGGCAAAGAACTTGTCGGTCGCTAGTACTTGTTCACGAGGCAGTGGCCACTGCTTCATGACACAGTACTTCGAGCCCGGTTTGAGCTCGATCTCGTGTCGAGTGCCTTTGTCCTTAGGCAACTCGCAAGGTACGGATTCAGGGAATACATCCTTGAATTCGATCAAATCCTTGTACAAAGGATTTGCCTGAAGTGACTCCCAGGATTGAGACGTGTATCGCTCAATCCGAGTCTTCTCATCGAGGACACTTTCGTCGATCGATGAGCTGCTGAGAACCCGTTCATTCTCAAAAAATACTGTCGCCGACCGAATATCGGCCACAAACTCATCCTCTGTGACGAGTATGCAGATCTGCTTGACTTTGCCACTACGCAGATCACGCAAGAACCGTTTCGGTTCTAGCGTTGGCAACTGAGTTATCTCCGAAGTTGACTTCGGAGGCACAATCAGATCAAGCGTATAAGCGCCTACGCTTGATCCGTCATTAACCAAGACGTTCAACGTCTCGGTTTACTTCCTGGGAACTTGCTTCCACAGGTTGCTGAAGGCCTGATCCCTCAGCAAGTGACTCTTGAGGAATTCCTTCCTCAAGCACGTGGGGACTTATTCCCTCGACGTCTTCCGACTGTGGCTGTGCAACCACAGTCAGGAACCGATCCTCTACGGTCGACTCTCCAGTCGACCTAGGATTTCCATGTTGCCCATGGGAGGCAACAAGTTTCTTTTGTCTAAGATGCTGCCCGCTAGGCATGCATCCATGTCCCGGTCCACTCGACTTATTCGAGTGGTGGACCTTCGGCGCAGCCTGTACTTTTATACAGCTGCCGGGAGCTTGCTCCACAGTGTAGTGATCAACTACACTGTGATCTTTTGCAGTCTTGCTAACGACCGTACCGCAAGTGAGGCCATCGCACTCACTCGCATAACATCCACACGCTTGTGGACGCTCCAAGATGTTCATCAGATGGCCATCTGATTAACAAGTGGCAGGCATCTTCACGGATCGATGCTGCCAGCTCACCCTTGGCTCTTATTTTCTGAGCCGAGGTAATCCCAGGATGACAATAAATTTGTCATCCAGATCCAGTACGATGAAGTCATCATCGTACTGTTCGCCCTCCAACGTGTAGTGGATTTCTACTACACGTTTCTCAACAATTAACGATGCGCCTGTTGCAAGGCGCACCGTCATCCTCGTGAGGGGAATGTCGCGCTCAACGAACTTGAGCCTACGACCCTCTAGTGACTGGCGACGAACAAAGTTGTTCGATGCCCCACAGTCTACTAGGGCACGAAGCGACAAATCATTTGTCGCTTCCAACTTCAAGGTGATGTGCGATAGTCCCATCACCGGGTGCAGAAACACACAACGATTGCGTATCTGGAGCAACTTTCGTCAAGAGATTTGCAAATTCTATTGAGGTTGCTGGATCAGTACGTCGCTCCGCCCCTACTGACCCTGACCATTTTTTGATGGTCCGTTTCGCTGTTGCGGCTTCGCAACAGCGCTGGACCCACTCCCATTGCCCTTCTTTGCAACTGGTCGTTCGATTCGCTCAGTACTGCTTGGTACTGGGCGTGGGGCACTACACTCATGTGCGAAGTGCCCCAACGTCTGACAGCGATTGCACCTCTGCAATGGCTTGTTGTTTGAATAGCGGGGTCTCTCGCTCTCAACATAGCAGAGGTCCATTGGTTCTGGACCCCCGATCTCTTGTCGTCTTGGTGGACGATAAGAGTTTGAGCTAGCATGAGCCTGTCTCATGCTAAAGTCTTCCTGTTCCGCGGCTGATATCGCTTCTTCAAGCTTATTCAGCTCAAGGCGGAACAGGGGGCTCCTGACGGGCCCTTCTGCGAGCCCTTGTATGAACACCGTAATCAACGTGTGTTCATGGACTGGGTTAGCAGTTATACTACTCGCGAGGAGTCGTATATGTTGTGCGTAAGCGTGCACATCACGCTTACCCTGATTGAGTTTCAGGAGCTCTGAACGAGCCCTGAACTCAGCCCGTGGCGGCTCAAACGTTTGTCTGAGCCGGGACTTGAAGTCATCTAGCGACCTAAACACATTTGGGTCGCTACTCTCGAGCCCCAGGGACCAATTTTTGGCACGCCCTGCCAAGTGGTTCTGAGCAAATGTAAGTTTCATTTGCTCATCTTCGACGCGACGAGCCCTTAGGGCTCTGTCGAGTTCGACAAGCCACAGTAACAGGGAGTCCTCCGGGACTCCACTGTACTTGGAGATGACAACTTTCATGACCTCGGGACGACGCGCATGTACCGTCCCGCCCACAGAAGCATGTAATTGCTGCTGTCTCAACAGCTCTGTCTGTTGAGCACCAAGTTCTCTCAAATGCTCGGCCTGTTGAGAGCCTTGCTGGTGAAGCAAGGCTACTTTTCTCCCTTTCGGCGACAAGTTCACTTTGGATGAACTTGGCTATAGCGGCATGTTGTTGGTCTCTGTCTAGAGACTCCAACATGGCGCTAATGGCGAACTCGCCTACGGTAGAACTCATTCGTTCTACCGCACTCCATTCGATGTCACTCAAATAAGTAAACACTTCACGCGTGGCGTGAAAGGTCTCTTCATCATCCAACATGAACATGTTGGATGTTGCGGTCCTTGGAAGGACTACAAAGTGCTACCAGGTGTAACGGGGCACACCCTTGCGTGAACTTAACGCAAGGGTATCGGTACCCCGACAAGCGTACACGAGGCAAACGAGGAAGCGTAGGTAAGGGAAAAGTAAAACTGTTGTATTAATATAATGAAGTCTTTTTGCTACTGTCTCTCTGTTTAACCTGACTTAATTATGTTAATCTAACTGAGTGTATGGTGACGTCTCGTCACTACTCATTGCGCGCGTCTTGCGGCGATTGGTGGGTTGATATCATCATGATATCAACCAATGAATAGACTCTTTGGTCGCCTCACCAATATGACCACTTTGGTGATATTGTTCAAAGAATCTTCAACTTAATATAATTTATTGTCATTGTTTCTTCAAAATGACAATTCCATTTAACGGGCTGCCCCGTTACAACGCGTTTTATTGAAGTGTGTAGACCACGGCATCACAAGGCGTCTCATGATTCTGGAAGCTTGGGATCCCTCAACTCACAGCATTGGCAACTCGCGAAGGTTTAGATTCCGGCATAGGCATACAAGGGGCTCTATACTGCACGTCATTATTGATCCATGTACACTCGAACCCAACGAGATTTCCGTTTCGTCAGAGGTCTGTCTGCCACGACAAGCTACACGATCCGGCTCGCTTGTTTGGCTCTGAAGATTTAAACGTCTTGCATGTGACCATGAAATAGCCGTTGCGCAGTTAAGCTGCACATTCGACCGTGACGGACATTCTGTGGCACCATTCGCACAAGTCTGCTTGGCTGCTTTTCTAGCTCAGTGCTCCTCGCTTTCGAGTCAGTGAGTCTTAGCTACATACGTAGTCAGGCCAGAGATTCAGTCGGTGCCGAACAGAGCGCATCGTGACGAAGGTGGCCACGAGGGCATTGATGACGATGCAGTCGCAGGCTTTGATTAGAGATCCGGATTGTTGATGCACGCACGCACGCACCACGCACGCACGCACCACACACACACCTTCGCTTACTGATACCAACCCAAAGCCCGTTGCCCGACATTGATTTTACGCACTTCCCAATTTGCGCCTTCGGGCAACAGGGCCAAGCGACAACGACCTCCAACGAGCCGGTATACCGGTCCTCTTGTCCTGGGCGGGAAGTCCCCCTCTGGGGGGCTCAGGTCATGAGGAGGAGGTTTTCTTCCCACTACGTGCGCCACGGGGAGGCAGCGTAGCATGCAAACCGAAAGGAGAGCAACAAGCCAGAGACCCCGGCGTGTGGGGCACGGCGCGACAGCGGTTGTCACCCCCACCTAGTTCCTGCTAGTCTACGTCAGCTTCCAAGTCGCCGGTCCGGTCGCCGAGCGCGAATCTCGGTCCCACGAAGCGAACTTGCCTAGAACGTGATTCTGATCGGAACCGTCCAGGTGCACCAGCGGCCTCTGGCGGGTGATCGGTTTGGTACCCGGCGTTTTCTGCGATTTCCGCGCCCTGTCTGCCCCCCCTCCCCCAGGACTGGATACCCGTTTCCACGTGCCCTCTGTTGAGTTTCCCCGTGATGCCCACAGGATCGAGCCAAGCAGACTGAGCCAGCGAGGAGGAGTATGATGTAGTCCAGGTAGAAGCACACCGATATTGTTTAGGCATAAGCACTTAATCGACGTTCAGGCTCAGTCGACATCGATTTTTAACGCGACACATCAAGTCGCAGCACCCTTTTGTCTTGTTTTTTGTAGGAGATCAACCCTGCCGCGTCACAGGTTGAAGTATCGCATATGAAGCATGACGTTCGCCAGGTGCGGTCGTCCCGGCGTCAAAAGCCCGAGTTCGTTGGTGTGTCAGCGGTAAAAAGGGCATCGACCAGTCTCTGTTGCGCGTGGTTGGCCTGTCCGCGATGTGATTGGCTCCTGCCTGCTCGAGTTGTCCACGTAGACGATTCGGCGGGTCCTCAGTGGCTACAGCGGACGGCGGATAATCCAATGACTTGGAGCGCGTACAGTCCATCGCTTCTGTCGACCGCTGGCCAGCGGCACTTTGGCATTTGGCTCCACATGCACACGCCGCGTACGTGTCAACCCATTGATTGCCTTTGATTGAGCACGTGCGTAACCGGCGGTCGACTGCGTACTTACTGAGGCACGAACAATGGCTACCAAAACCCACTTGGCGTTTATTCTGAATCCCGTCGAGGGGTCTCCTCCATTGCCTCCGCCGCTGCTACTGCCATTGCAACAGAATGGCTACAATATGCCTCTTAAGTCACTCCAGTCTGCAGTGGACTGGCAGCAAGAGCAGGTTGTCGTAGGGGCACCGAGAGGCCAGCGCGACCTCGATCTGGTACCGAGTGCATCAGACCGTCTTCGGCCCTACAAGAGGCTATGCACGGTCCAGTCATTACCGACTGTGTCGTCCCCGACTACTGTGGACAGCTGCACGTCAGCAGCTACGAGTTCCGAGAGCGAGTCCTCGGACGTGGACAGCCCCGAGACAACGACGCGCGCACTAATGGCACTGAAGAAAAAGCCGCACTTGTGCCACGAAAAAGGCTGCAAGAGTCTCGCCGTGTCCCGACAAAGCTGCGTGCGCCACGGCGGCGGCTCGCGCTGCACTGTCAGCGGCTGCACGAACGGCGCCAAGCTCCGCAACCGCTGTTTCCAGCACGGCGGCTCGACCACCTGCTTGGCGGCTGGCTGCACCAGCAAAGCCAAGCGCTATGGCTACTGCTGGTCGCACGGCGGCGGTCGCATTTGCACTGCTGCGGGCTGTAACAAGGTCGCGGCGCAAGGGGGGTCGTGCTGGGCGCATGGCGGTGGCAATCGCTGCAAGGTTGAGAGCTGCAGCAAGCGGTCGTACCGGAAGTACGACTACTACTGCGAAGTCCACGCAGCGGTTGGCTGCCAGGCGTAGACGTCTGGTCGTTGTGTCTATTTATTGCGCTGGTGGTCTGGTGGATCGCGACGAGAGTCCTCGTGTTCGGTTCGGTCAAAGGGATATGCGTTTCCTATCGTGCATTTCGAGTGTTACTTGTCGCAGTTGTCAGAGTGCGTGCGTGCGTGAGACGGTCAGTGAGTGTGTATGATGTGCCGATGTGATGATGTGATGATATCAATCGACGCGCGTCTCGTTGAAAGACTTGTGACAAACAGTGCGTGCAGTCTTTGTAAATTCGAGTCGCTCTGAACTTATTCTTGCAAGTACATCTCGAACTTATCTAGCGTATGTTGTACATGCCACGTTGACCCGTCCGTCGAACGATGAAGAAGCAGTGGGCTGTACGTTCTTTCGTGCTGTGTAGCAGAGACAAAGAGCATTTGGCGTCACTGCCGCTGTTGATGGACCCCGTCTTCTGCTAGAACAGCTCTCGAAACGCCACGGCTTTGGCGAGCTACAACAACTTGTGGTGTCTGACGGCAATATGGGCTTACAGTGGGTGTCAGACGCGCGCTGTACAGATCGTACACACGAAATTCGGCCATACCGACTTCGCTGCGAGGGACGACAACTGGCGGATTGTTACAGCATGGCAATGTGTACGCTTTCATCGACCCAAAGTTTGTAGCAATCGCTGCACGCATCAAACGAGATACCTGTGTCACGCCCCTTTTTCTCTAGGGGGGGAGAAGGTGTCACGCTCGACTCTAGGTGAACCTTCGACAGCGCTGTCGATGGAGCGGTCGACAACAATGGCGGTCAGCACATCACTATCGAATATCTCCTTTAAACTGAACAAGGAATGTGATACTTCATATCCCCATACCACATTGCTCGAGACGGTGTCGTCGACTTGGACGTGAATGGGGACACCACGAAGTTGCTCCATTTACGTTGCTGTCGGTTTTCTAGGCGACGATCAGGACAGTTCGGTAGGGTGGCGACTCGTGCGATATCTTGACGGGAGCACCCAGTGCAAGAAGACCTATTGACTACAACTGCCACATGTAACTCCTTTACAAAAGCAGCCAACGTCTATACAAGCGCACGAGGTCTCCAGGTCCGGACCGCAACGAAGAAGAAGAAGAAGACGACGACGACAGTCGGGTATTCGAGCAGCGCGTAATTCGATCGATACGTGTCCCGTCTCAAGCGGTGTCGTCACCTTCTTGGCGCGACTCTTTTCGTCCCACTGCAACTGATCCATTTGGTCGCTGAAACGAGTCATCATCGAGTCCTCTCCATGGCGTCCTGTTTGATCGTCAGCACACCAAACGACTCGGGAGCTGTTCGGTCCATCAGCTCGCCCGAACATACTGACTACAGCTCGCTCACTACGGACAGACAGAGCGCGTGTTATGCCAAATCGCTGGACGAAACGTGTCTGCTGCTCGCAAAGACCGCTGCAGCACGTCAACGTCAAGAAGATCAGGTGCCTTCGTTTTCTGACGAGGCATGGGCGATCTGGAGCATGGGCTGGCAAGTGAGCGTCACGACTGTCTGCCGCATTGCTCTGTCGACCATCAGCACCGCGTTTCTAGGGCGACTGGGCTCGAAAGAGCTCGCGGCCAGTGCATTGGCCAACGTGTGGACAAGCGGCGTGCAGGTCCTCATCTTTGGCATTGCCGAGTCCGTGTGCACGCTCTGCAGTCAGGCGTATGGAGCGCAGAACTACCGCCTCGTGGGCATTTGGCTACAACTGGCACTGCTCTTCCTCGTGGTGCTGTCCGTCCCGGTCATGGTATCGTTCTACTTTGTAGACCGCATCTTGAGCGCCGTGACGGCTGACCGTGACGCCCTAGCACTGGCTGGCACGTATGCGAGGTACTTGACACTGAGTGTCCTTCCGCAAGCGATTTACTGTGCGTTGACACAGTACTTACAGGCTCAGGAGATCGTGTGGCCTGCTACGATCATTAGCGTCGCGAGCATTGCAGTGGCTCTGAGCGCCAACTACCTCTTTATCTACGGCTGGGGACCTGTTCATGGACTCGGCTTTATTGGCGCACCCATTGCACAGGCAGTGTCGTCAATCTTCCAGCCAGTTGTGCTGGTGATCTATGCGTTTTGGTACAAGAGGTACCACAAGAAGACGTGGTATGGCTTTGACGTGGCCGCGTGTTTGCAATATAAGCGCATGTGCACGTTTGCCTGCTTGTCGGCAGGCATGACGGTCAACCTGGCACTGGACGAATGGGTGTACAACGTCATCTCGGCTCTAGCAGGGTATCCGGGTTCGCGAAATTTGGCAGCAAACAGTATCCTGTTCAACTTGTGGGGCCTTATCTTTGGACTGTACTGGGGCTTTGGCTTACCCACACAAGTTCGGGCGGCGAACTACCTCGGAGCGAATCGTCCATGGGCAGCGAAGCGTACGCTTCACGTTGGCTTTGTGCTTGGCGGGTCCACGGCTTTCATCTCGGCACTGCTGACATACGCGTTCCGTGACCCCATCGCACGCTTTTTCACGAGTGACCCCATTGTGATTGCTGCTCTTACCAGCACGATGCCGATCTTTTGCGCCGCAGTGTTTATCTCTGGTCTGCATGTGATCATCTCGGCTGTTGTAGAGGCCATGTCGCTCGCCACGACGTTAGTGATTATCACAATGATCGGCTCGTGGGTTGTCATGCTGCCAGCATCGTATCTATTCGGCCTCTACTGGAACGGCGGGCTGCATGGTCTATGGTGGGGTAGCGTGTGCGGTGAGACTGTCAAGTTTTGTCTACTGGCACTCGCATTGTGGCACATAAATTGGCGCAATATGGCACGTCGTGCAGTGGTTCAGTCGGAGATGACGTACTGACCGATGGACAATCGGGAAAAGATACGCACACGTGACTAGATGTCGTGCTCTTGTCACATCAATGCCAGCTATCCGCACGCCTGTGTGCCATGTTATCGAGCACCTCATGCCCCCACAGTACCCAAACATGAGGGTTATCGAGCTCGAAATGTACGACGCAGCAACTTGCTCAGCTCAACACAACTTCAAAGAATATGAGCAGGAAGATAACGGTACGATATTTCAGGTAAGCCGATGAAGACGCTTGCGATGGTAAGCGTTTGACAGAGATGTGGTCAGCAAGCGTCAAATTTGTCAGGAACGAAGGAGGTAATGTCCATTTGACGGGAACAACTACCAGCCCGCTTTCGTGTGCGCTCTAGTACGTCTGCCCTTGTGTTCGGTTTTAGAGTGAGGCCAAGTCCATGCATACAAACGTCCTCAGATCTGTGGCTGCAATCGGATATACGAGCCGAGTATATCGTCGTCTGTGCGTCGACAGCATTGTGTTTTGTCGGACTTTGGTCTCTCGTGTACAACTTTGTAGTCAAGGACTAACACTGCAAATCTGACAAGCGTCGACCTTGCAGTCATCATGCCATGGGAATGTGTACACTACCGAGAGCAGGCACAACCGCCCCAGGAACGGCTCGAATGGCTGCTAAGTTTTACCTCGAGCAAACTCGTTGACACCGATCGAACTAGCAGCGCACATTGACCATTCGGTCTTTGGTTGCTTGCTTTGTTTAGAACATGATGACGTGCCTTGTAAGCGTCTACGTAAGTCAATAGCTACTGACAGGGGCTTGCACGGCATGTGAGCCAAATTGGTCGTCTCCATCGCGCCGGGGTGACAGGTGCAAACGTGACTGCTCGCACTGCACTCAAATTGTCAGCAGCGTCTTAGTTCTTGTGCTGTCTACTTCTCATATAGGAGCGCGCATCTTGCTCTACATAACAAGTGTGACATCAAGACACCCTCTAACGATCACCGCTTGGCCCTCAGCAGTCCTATCTCCTTTATAGCCTTACATTTTGTTTACCTGTAATGTATGTACAAGGTGCGGTTTCTCTGCACCCAGCACGATCACCCCATTCCACTCGACAAGTCATGTTTACGAATCAGCATGTTCGCGAAACATGCCGGAGGCACGACACGAGTACGATGGATCTGCGAGGCAGGATAACGGGATTCACCAAGAGGTGCGGTCCCCAAAAGTCTGCAGGAGGGGTTCGTGCTCTGGAAAAGCGCTGCCGATAAGAAACGCACTCATATCACCAGCTGTTGCTAATCGAGGATCGGAATGTGCGTGCGTCGCTAGCACATCGAGCCACACGATGTCGCACGTAGCAGTCAACGAGACGCTATTGTAGCACGAGAGCAGCGACAGCAAAACACCTCACTGGCTACGAGCTAGAGGAACATGTCATCTGCCGATCGATTCGATACATGGCGACCTCGTCAACAACAAGAGCTGACGTTCGAGCTGCTGTGACAGACTCTGACGCCGGGGGCGAGACCTCGATGACGACAACGTAACATGACGTACCGAACCACGAACGTAACAAGAACAACAATCTCCAACATGTAGAAATGGCGGCACTGACCACATGGAGTGATCGCTGCCAACGTCCTGACACAGTATCAAAAATGTTTTCGGTGCGATTGTTTTCTCGTAAAGCGCACGAGTCCACACCTCAAGGGCTCAACAGAGCCAAACACAGCATAAACGGTCACAAAACACAGTCGAAATAGTCCCAATTTGCCCCACCATCTGTTGCCTGTTGCTTCTTACCACAAGCACGGTTCCGTCCCTTTTACACTCACCGTTGATCGTCTTTTCCACTAATCACGCGCTTGCAGCAAACGTGCTGCCCGGTCATTCGCTAAAATACGACCCCAACTTCCCTGTCCCGCCACGCGCGGCCACCAATCCTCTTGGTTCTCGTATACCGCCGCGAGAGTGATTGTCACGTTTCCTTTGCAATTCGTGCGCGACAAGTTCATTCCGCACTCGAGCGATCACGTGGCGCGCCAGACGATGTCAGCCGCCGCTGAGGACACGACGATCGTCCAGAGTCGGGGAGACGCCCAACGCTCTGGTGAACAAGAGCACGAGCAGTGGCGATCGGGCAGACGAGCCGGCGATAAGGAGGACGAGGAACGAGAAGACGAAGTCGACGAAGAAGAAGGAGACGGAGAAGAAGAAACAGAAGAGGAAAGTGCTGGCGCTGGTAGTGGTCGAATCGACGCGTATTTTCAGCAGCGCAGTAGTCCGCGCACGCGCAGCTCTTCTCTCCACGCGACAAAGGAACCGCAGGCGAAGCCATCGAAGCGCAAAGCCACGCAGTCAGAGCGCAGCAAGCGCTGGAACCGTCGGCGGAAGATCGCACAGGTGATGGACGAAGCGGATTTGGACTCGAGTACACGCCGAGCTCGGGAAGCAGAAGCTAAGCGAGCTAAGCGGATCGACGCGATACTCGGGAGCTTTTCGGCTTTGTCGGAGGATCAATTGGCGGTAGCGTCTGACCAGCAGACGAACAAGAAGAAGAAGAAGAAGAAAAAGAAGGGGGAGGGGGAGGAGGGCGACGATGATGAAGAGGAGGAGGAGGAGGAGGAGGAAGAGATGGCGTTGTGTTTGAATCAAGTCACGAGTGAGGGGGCAGTGCCTACGGGTGCAGAAGGTACCGAGGACGCGCCCGTGTTTGTCTACACGGACTTGGTGAAGAAGCTCAAGCCGCACCAGATTATTGGCGCGCGGTTTCTCTGGAGTCATGTGGCTGTCGAGCCCGAAGGCTTTGGCTGTGTACTGGCGGACTTTATGGGTCTGGGGAAGACGCTGCAGGTCATAACGACCGTACAGGCGTTTTTGTCCAAGAAGATGCTGGATGTAGACGGCAGGTTGCAGCAGCGACATAAAAATGTGCTGATCCTTGCCCCGACGATCTGTGTGAGGAATTGGGAAGCCGAGATTGTCAAGTGGCTTGGCAAGAACGAGACGAGACGTCTTGGGCTGTTTACGTTGGAGTCGGGGCGAGAAAAGAAAATGTGTGATCGCGTCTCGGTCGTCAAGAAGTGGCACAAGCGCGGCGGGATACTGATCATGGGATACGAGCTATACCGCCTGTTGGTGTTGCAGTCGAGTGGGGACGAAAAGATTGCAGCGGGAAACCAAAAGCACGCGCATATGATCAAACAGGTGTACGCGTGCTTGGGCAACCCAGGCCCCGATCTGATCGTGCTAGATGAAGGTCATCGTGTGCGTAATCACAAGTCTAAGATGGTGAAAGCACTAGCGCACGTCAAAACAACTCGACGAATCATATTGACGGGATACCCGTTACAAAATCACTTGGAGGAATACTGGACAATGGTAAACTTTGCCCGGCCCGACTACCTTGGCTCGTTGGAGGAGTTTAAAAACCGATACGTAGCTCCTATAACGAACGGACAGTGCATTGACAGCTCTGAAGCTGACTTGCGGCTGGCTCGGCACCGAGCGTTTGTTTTGACGAGGGAGCTGAAGCCTTTTGTGCTGCGTCGAGACCAACAGTATCTCTTTAAACAGCTGCCGCCTAAGAAAGAGTTTGTGCTGATGTGCAAACTGACGGACGCACAGGCGCAGTTGTACCGAGAGTTTCTGAAGCAGGGCGTTCCGACGCGTGGCGACACCGAGCAGGTGGACGTTCTTGGTGGCTACCATATTGCATTGGCTATCTCGAATCATCCGGATGTCATTTGTGACACTTACAGGAGATTGGAGAAAGAGGAGCGGGAAGGCGCTAACAAGAAGTCGAAAAAATACGGCGGTGTCTCTGAGATTTTTGGGGTCGAAGATGGTGGCAACGATTTTGATCCATATATTGGCGGCCCCCTATGTAATGGTCGGAGCTCTACTACAAGAAGGGCTACGTCAGTCGCACCACCTGGATCGTGCGTTGCTGATAACGTTGATGGTAACGTAGATGACGCAGCAGTTTTGGATTTGATGGATGCGCCTAGTTCTGCCGCATTGAAGCGGAAACACGCCTCGGGCGCGGGATGGCATCGCTTGAAGTTTGCTCAAAAGTTTGTTGAAGAACACGTTCCGAACCAACTCGAAACAAGCGGCAAGATGATGATTCTTATGGAACTCTTACAGGCTTGTCAGGCTGTCGGCGATCGCGTGATCATATTCTCGCAGAGCATTCCTACACTGGATGTCATTGGAGCAACGATCTCGAAACACAACAAGTGTCGGTACCGTCACGCGAATCGTCTTACGTTCTTGCGAATTGACGGAAGTACGTCACAACAAGACAGGTTCCGTCAGATAGCCCAGTTCAACGATCCTGAAGAGGACATCGACGTAATCATGATCTCGACGAAGGCGGGCGGTGAGGGGATCAATCTGTGCGCTGGCAACCGGATTATCATTTTTGACGTGTGCTGGAACCCATGCAACGACTCCCAGTCTATGTGCCGTTCGTACCGGTTTGGCCAGACGAAGCCCGTGTTTGTGTATCGTTTCGTGACGATGGGGACAATGGAAAAGAAGGTGTATGACTTGCAAATTCGCAAAGAAGGCGTAGCGAAGCGTATTGTGGACGAAAAGACGACCGAGAGAAAGTTTATGTCTTCCGAGCTACAAAAGTATTTCAACATCAAAGAATTTGAGGACTCTTTGTTGCACGCACAAGGGAAAGTAGTGGATGATCGAGAAGTAGCGATGAAGCCTATTCCTCACGAAGACACTGTGCTTGTAGACGTTCTAGCTAAAATGGGAGGAATCGCTACGTTTGGTGCTACGACTGCCCTGGACGATGAAGAAAGCATTGCTACGGGAGTGTCGGATGACAAGAGATGTATCATTGATTGGTTTGAGCAAGAAACAATGTTCGAGGAAGATTTGGATCAGCAGTGTACACCTGCTGAGCAGAAGGAAATTATGGAAAGTTATACTTACTTCAAGGCGGTAAAGAAGCTTCGCAGCATAGGCGCACACCTCATTAACCGCGAGGGTGTGTTAGTGAAGAATTGCGACTATTGCCGTGCGCTGAACGAGATTTACCCGACATCAACAACGACCGTTCCGATTCCTTTGAAGATTGAGTGCATATATTGCAAGCGGTCCATGGAAACTGCTGGTGCAGTCCCTCCATCCCAAAATATGGCCTCCGTGTATCCTTGCATGGGACACTTTTCTCGGGTCTCGGGCCTCATACCAGGGACTACACTAGCTACCACAGCACCTCTATCTATACCAATAACCATGACACATCCGTTCGTGCCAGCTGCTGGAGCTAGTGTGGCTCGAGTTTTGCCGCCTCACATGCAGGCAATGTTCGAACGCCAAAAGAGAGATGACAAGGCAGCTGAGGAGAGGCGGAACCAGCTCATTGCTGAACAAAATGCCGAGCAGCGACGATTACTGTTTGGGCGTGAGCAAGCTGAGATGGCAGTAGCAATACGAAGACAGGAGCGATTAGCCATGAAGCTCAAAGACCGGCATTTACTCATTCTCCGGCGAGGTATCAAGGGCTGCCAAGACCTGAAGCGCAGCGCCGAGGAGTGTGGCGCTACGCTGGCGATTGAGGTCAATTCGCAACTTACAGACATTGTCAGTGCGATGAGCCGAGAAGAGACACTGCGGTGGCTCAAGTTGAGCAAGCTCGCAGGCGACGTGGAACTGCACGACGACATATGGCTGCGGAATGAAATTGCAAAAGAGAAAGGTTCGCCGTTGCGTTCGGGCCAATCGTGTTTTGGCTCGCCCCCACAGTCCCGGCCTGCCGTCGCAGCTGTCACTGCTGCTGTCCATTCGAGGTCTTCCGTTGCCAGTACTCCTCCTTTTACGTCCTCAACTTTGAACAATGAGAGTCCACAGACAACAGCGGACAGCAGCAGTGATTGCATCGAGCTTGTGGAATCGGACGGTGAGGGCACCTCGAAGACAAGCGCGAGCAACGGAGCAGTAGCCAGTGGCAATGCTGTTGCGGCCATTGCTCCTGCAGCCGACGTGATCGAGATCTTGTAGTTCGTGTTATTGACACCTTGGCCAAGTCGATGAGAACCGTCGTTCGGTGAGAAACGGAACGTGCCGTTGATGTGCTGAGATTGACTTGTGCCGTCGAGAACGTTTGTGTTGTCGAGAACTTTTGTGTCATGCTATGGAGCAACGAGACCGTGCGGACTAGAAACAGTTTCCTATGCTGGCCGAAGCGTTTCCTAGCTCGCAGTGCCACGCAAATCGAAAGCAGAAATGTGTTGAAGCAGCGTCATACGGGATGAACGCGCAACGGTTCTTGGGTATGCACCGGCGGCGTATGTAATTTGTGCTCGTACCCGCTGTGGCTCGTACTGCGGGTGCGCGAGCGACGGATACTGGTACTGCTTCAGGAATCATGGCGTGTCAGTTACGTGACGTCATGCGAAGCACTCAAGGTATCTTTGAGCTCATATAATGCGTCCGCTCGGTTACGGTCATGGCTGACGTTGCTCGGCGACAATCTGTGCGGCAACGCATGACTTTTGGGGTGGAGTATGTCAGTGCGTAGGAGGCCAGCACCTGATATCGAACGTCCCGGTGTTCCCAGCGGCGACATGTAGTAGAGTCACTTGCCACAAAACACATTTGGAAGGGACGAAGCAAAGTTGGCAACCTTTGCAGATCATAGCGCATCAGCACACCATTGCACGATCAGATGTCTCGCCGTTGGTGGCGCAGTCGACCGACTTTCATGCAAAAGGGGCAAGAGAGTACTTGCAGATTTGTTCATGGTCTTTCTGACGGTTGTGGGTTATGCATTGATTGCTGTGTTAATCTCTGCCTCGTCCAGTGGGCCTATCGAACTTGCTGGCATCGATCCATGTGACGAAAGTAACACACAAACTGCGTACTGCTATCTCCATGTTCGTAAGAAAAGTGCCTGATGTAACAGTCGCTGGTAGTGTAACTGACGCCAACGCTCGTGTCTCTTGCAGTCATACGAACAGCAGTAGCAGTGTTTGGCGTCCTCCGTGCAACAACTGTAAAGCAACTTATCTCAACCACAACCGTCACATCTTTCACGTCTTCGTTCCGGTGATGTCCACACAAGTCGCTGGTTTGGACATATCACGCGACATCATGGGCTTTACTAAACAATCACAGTCCTGGTGAGGCTTCGTTTAGTTGGTCGAGGAAGTCCAAAATTGGGCGAGCAACTTGATCGGCTTTTTCCGGAGACCAAAACTAGCACTGGTTCTCGACGACCTTTCCACTTGAGTTGCTCAATCTCATTGCCACTGAAGTACGAAAGACGCTGACATTATAACCCGCACGTGGTCATCTATGCACTTAAGAAAGCAGACCTTGGCTATAATGAACATGCAAAAACACCGATACGACCTTCGCCAGTGGTGGCGCTTGCAGTCTCCTCGAGATTGCGGAAACAATTCGTCACGCGATCAAGTTCGTCCCAAGATGGAAGCCGAAAGTATGATGAACGATCGAGGGTTGGACGGCGCGACTCGTGTAGAGCTTATGAAAGCATCGCAGGTGATGATGCCATGGAAAGAAAGGCACATGTGTGTGGACAATAGATAGACGTGCATGTCTGCGATCATGGATATCATTGGGAGGTACAATTTCGAGCGCAGGAATTATGTACCGAATGATTTGTTCTTCAGCTTCAAGAGACATTTGAATTGCTCTTGCTGACTGGTCAAGCAACATGAGATGGTGAAAGTAATTTCAGCAGGACATGGTCATTGGCAAAGAACTACAAAATCGGTGACAGGCAAAGACAAGTGCATGATGCAACACTATACACTGTTCCAGGATGCTGTGGCGTTGTCGCGTATTACCCCCATGTTCGCCTTATTGCTACGTAAGGAATAAAGTAGATCTGAACATGGACGTCAAAAGAGCATACTGCAGTCTCCCGGTCGTTTACTGGCTGACGTTCCTGCTCTATCAACAGCGCCTCAGCGGCTGGTTATAGAAATGCAGCTGGCTGCAGTGACAGCACAAACCTACCCATTGGCGTTTCTAAACGGCGCGTTCGTTCCTCTCGCCGCAGCAAGCAAAGATTACAACATATGATCCAAACGATGGATTCGGATTGGCTCTCCTACCCCAAAAGTCACGCTATGATCTGACCGGTCATTGGCTACAGTGACCCCGCCACCGCCCCATCCAATCGACTGGCCACGGCGACCACTACGCAATCGATCCAAGTCGTCGTCGTCCGCCTGTCTGTCTGTGCGTGCATCGCCCATGGCTTCCTCCCCCGAGAAGAAGCAAAAGACTGCATCGACGTCGCGCGTCGGTTCGCTGCTGCGTTTCTACCGCACGCCAGCGCTCACGTCGCACGCCACGCGGACGCTGTTGTCCTACTTGTGTGCCCAAGTCGACGCGGACCCGGACTTACACGTAAACAAGCTCGTGACCGAGTACTGTTTCTACATTGAAACAGCGGCGACAACGACTGGCAAAGACGAGGCGCCCGGCGCCACGTTGTCCGCGCCCGACTATGAGACACTGCAGTGGCTGCTCAGTGAGACGTTTGAGCCCCAGCACACACGTGCAGCGGATCCGTTTCTTGAAGCAAAAGACCCGACAACGGAATACCTGGTGGAAGTGGGACCGCGCATGAACTTTACCACTGCGTGGTCCAGCAATGCTGTCGCGATTTGTCACGCCTGTGGACTCACTTCGATCAAGCGCATTGAACGGGCAACGCGGTACTTGGTGCGCTACCGGGCTGCCTCTTGTGACGCTGTCGAGACGCTGAAAAGCGCGCTATTGCGTCAGGAATGCGATCGAATGACGCAGCAAGTGTACGATGAGCCGCTGACGAGCTTCTGGCATGGCAAGACGGTACAGCCTGTCCGCACGGTCCCCGTCATGGAACGAGGAATCGATGCGCTCAAGGAGATCAATGACGACATTGGACTGGGGTTCGATGACTGGGACTTGCAGTATTACATGAATCTGTTCAAAGATAAGCTGCGTCGCAACCCAACTGATGTCGAGTGTTTTGATATGGGTCAGAGCAACTCGGAACACTCGCGGCATTGGTTTTTCGGTGGCAAGATTGTTGTGGACGGCCGCGAGATGCCTCAGACACTTTTCCAGATGGTCAAGGATACGCTCACAGAGACTGCCAAGCAAAATAGTATCATTGCGTTCCACGACAACTCGTCTGTGGTCAAAGGTGCTAACATTGTGACGCTCGGACCTGTGACTCCTGGGGAGCCCTCGCCTGTGCAGGAACGCACGCTCGACAGCCACCTGCTACTGACTGCTGAGACCCACAACTTCCCGTCAGGTGTGGCGCCGTTTCCCGGTGCTGAGACTGGAACCGGTGGTCGCATCCGTGATGTGCAGGCCACTGGTCGAGGTGCCAATGTTGTCGCTGGTATCAGCGCCTACTCTGTGGGCAATCTTAACCTAGAGGGCTACCGGCTTCCGTGGGAAGACGAGAAACTAGAGTATCCGTCCAACCTTGCTCACCCGCGTGACATTCTCATTCAGGCTTCCAACGGTGCTTCAGACTATGGCAACAAGTTTGGAGAGCCCGTGGTGACGGGATTCGCCCGTTCATTCGGTATGGTGCTGCCGAATGGCGAGCGTCGTGAGTACATTAAGCCGATCATGTTTTCAGCTGGTCTTGGCCAGCTAGACGGTCGTCACTGCACCAAGGGCGAACCAGAGATTCAGATGTGGGTCGTGAAGATTGGCGGGCCGTGTTACCGTATTGGCATGGGCGGTGGTGCTGCTTCGAGTCGTATCCAGGACGCCAAGACTGCTGAACTAGATTTTAATGCCGTGCAGCGTGGCGACGCTGAGATGGAGTGCAAATTGAACAAAGTGATTCGTTCCTGCTGCGATATGGGCGAGAAGAACCCGATCGTATCGATCCACGACCAGGGCGCTGGTGGCAATGGTAATGTGTTGAAGGAGATCGTCGAAGTGTCGAACTCGAAGCCCGGAGATGCGAATCGCGGTGGTGCTCGCTACGAGGTGCGCAACATCCTGGTCGGCGATGACACGCTGTCCGTTCTCGAGATCTGGGGTGCTGAGTACCAGGAGAACGACGCACTTCTGCTCCGTCCAGAGCACGTTGAGCTCTTTGACAAGATTTGCAAGCGTGAGAAATGTCCGTACGCGCTGCTGGGCCAGGTGACTGGAGATGGCCACGTGGTTTTGCACGACTCGAAGGACGACTCTACTCCTTTCGATCTGGATCTTGACCTTGTGCTCGGCAAGATGCCGCAAAAGACCTTTATCGATACGAAGGCTACAGAGATTGTTTCGGAGCTATCACTTCCCGTGGATATTACTCTGCGTGATGCACTGGACCGTGTTTTGCGTCTTTTATCAGTCGGCTCGAAGCGGTTCCTCACTAGCAAGGTGGATCGCTCCGTGAGCGGTCTGATTGCACAGCAGCAGACTGTGGGTCCACTCCAGCTGACTCTCGCAGACTGTGCTGTTGTGGCGCAGTCCAATGTGCCGAATGGAGATGGCAAGTTCTCTGGTGTGGTGAGCGCGTGTGGAGAGCAGCCTATCAAGGGCCTGGTGAGTCCTGGAGCCATGGCTCGCTTGAGCGTGGGCGAGTCACTGACGAACATGGTATGGGCGGCTCTTGGTGGACGTGGTCTCGATGACTGCAAGTGCTCTGCCAACTGGATGTGGGCGGCTAAGCTACCCAATGAAGCTGCGTGCATGTACGAGTGCTGTGAAGCGATGACTACTTTCATGAAGCAGGTGGGCGTAGCTGTTGATGGTGGCAAGGACTCGCTGTCCATGGCTGCAAAGGTGAACAAGAAGGACGTGAAGACGCCTGGTACACTTGTGATTACTATGTACGCTCCGACGGAGGACGTGGAGCTGAAGGTGACGCCTGACCTCAAGACCCACATCGATAACAGCCTGCTGTACTACATAGACGCGGGCAAGGGCGAGAACCGATTAGGTGGTTCTGCTCTTGCGCAGGTGTATGGCCAGGTCGGGAACGTGTCCCCAGATGTCGAGGATGTCGAGCTGTTCAAGAACGCGTTCAATGGCATCCAGACTGCTATCAAAAATGGCCACCTGCTTGCTGGTCACGATCGTAGCGATGGCGGTCTCATTGTCACGCTGCTGGAGATGGCGTTTGCCGGCAATTGCGGTGTCGATGTCGACATTCCATTCGCGGGTGACAAGGTCTCAACGAAGGACGTGATACAGGTGCTGTTCGCTGAAGAGCTTGGTTTCGTGTTCCAGGTCGCTGTTGGCCAGCACGCCACCGAAGTGGAAGCCATCTTTGGCAAACTGAACGTGCCGCTTGTGAAGCTGGGTAAGGTCACTACTGATGGCGTTATTAGCGTGCGCATCAATGGCGAAAGTGTGATTCAGGACCAGATGGTGGACCTCCGAGACGTGTGGGAGGCGACGAGTTTTGAGCTTGAAAAGCGTCAGTGCAACCCCGAGTGCGTGGCACAGGAGCAGCGTTCGTTGCGTACCCGCACAGCTCCCTCATGGAAAGTGACTTACGAGCCGGAGCCGACGCCAGAGCGCCAATTGAGCACGCGTGCCCAGCACCGCGTTGCTGTGCTTCGTGAGGAGGGTAGCAACGGGGAGCGGGAGATGCTTGCTGCATTCCACCACGCAGGTTTCGAGGTCTGGGACATCACAATGTCGGATCTTGTCAACAAGCGTGTGGTTTTGGACGAGCGTTTCCGTGGCGCTGCGTTTGTGGGTGGCTTCACTTTTGCTGATGTACTTGGCTCGGCGAAAGGCTGGTCGGGTGTGGTGAAATATCACGGTGACGTGCTGAAACAGTTTACGGCGTTCAAGGCTCGCGAGGACACGTTTAGTTTTGGTGCGTGCAACGGTTGCCAGTTCATGACGCTGCTAGGCTGGCTCGACCACCCGGAGGCCAAGGCGCTGGAAGAGGAGACGCAGACGTCTGCTCAGCCGCGGTTCGTGCACAATGAATCTGGACGCCATGAGTCTCGTTTCGTGTCGGTGCAGATTCAAGAGTCGAACTCGGTGATGCTGCGTGGCATGGCTGGCTCTTCCATTGGCGTGTGGGTCTCGCACGGCGAAGGCCGCGCGCACTTCACGCACGCAAAGATGCAGGAAAAGTACGTGTCGAGGGGTGCAGCTCCTATTCGGTACGTGGACGACTCGAATGTGCCGACGGAAGAGTACCCGTTCAACCCGAACGGCTCCCCCGAAGGCATTGCCGGTCTCGTGTCGAGCGACGGGCGTCACCTGTGCCTCATGCCGCACCCCGAGCGCTGCTTTTTGAAGTACCAGTGGCCGTACCTGCCGGCGGACTTTGAAAAGCATGCTGCAAGCCCGTGGATGCGAATCTTCCAGAATGCCAAGACTTTCTGTGAAGCTTCGTCTTCGTAGCTTTCTCATGAGCTGTCAATCTGCGGCCGTTACTGCTGCTGCTATTGCTGCAAAAAAGAGAGAGAGAATGATGACACGCTTGCTGTTGCAAGAGCGAAACGAACAGAGCTTTGCAAGGTTAGAGCTTTATACTAGACGACGTCGGTTCGTTGGTTGGTGTAGTAGTGGACGTCACTTCACCACTGGCTGAAAAACACTTTCAACATGGTAGAAAAGCAGCAAGCCAAGTGGTCAGATTGGTACAGATAGGACTCCTACCCGGACCGGAACTCCCAGGGTTTCCCCCCGGGGGTCCCTGAGGGGTTTACATGTGTATTTATAGATACATATCGGTATATATTGCATAGCATTTCCAACAGATCTTATACCCTCTCTACATAACAACCCTCGGCAACTTCTTGTACCAGTCTTGCATACACATCAGCATCCCAATGGTTTCCCCGTCCAGAGATGCCCTTTCATCCCTGCAAATTAAACCATCATCGAGAAAGCACGCTCGGAAGGGACACTGGTAGCAGGAATTGCCAGAAGGGCCCTCGCCATTTTGCCCAAACTAGAGAAAAACCACATGTCGACGGTGATTTTATCCCAAAGGGTCCACATTCCTATCGGCCAGGTCTTCCCCCAAATACTTCACAATTTCCCCGTCCACGTTGGTAATCTTCTGCTGCTTTGCATAAATGAAATCTTCGAAACCTTCGACCTCTTCACCTGCTTCTTCAGTGGCCATGGGAACGGCTGCATGAGTGTTGTAGCGGCTTGCAGCAACAGCAAAGCTCTCACGAATCATGCGAGTGTGGATGCCATACTGAGAAAAATGAACTGCATGCTTGCTGAAGAAAAACATCTTGATGCGGGGATCGAGAATGACGGCGTGCAGGTAAACATGTTTCTTGAGAGTCGCCTTGAGATACTTTTGAAGCTTTTGAATAATGTCTCTTGCTGGCTGTAGAAGCTGCTCCGAGTCGTAGGTCTGTTCCACCTGCAAGATTCAAATATGCTTGTACATGAATATTTATATCTCGGATTCTCTACTTCACAATCATAGCTTCGCACCTTTTGCAATTAAACAATGAGGGCAAAAAAGATCGGGAGAGCTTTCTCAAGAGTGGGTAAACGTGAACCCGTAAGCCTTTCCGTGGCCGTGTTCATGGGTTGAAGAAACTTCATGAGCTGACCAAGCTTTTCCCATTCCTCTTTTGAAAGGGCGAATTTCTGATAATCGACATCGCTGAGGCAGACTCCAGTCACTGTCGGGCTGTCGAACCGAAAAGAAAAACAATTTGTCCAATGAGTCAAAGAAACAATTCACAAGTACGTACCGGAAGTGCAAAAAGCGCGAGTACATCTGGTAAGTCGAATTCCACCGCGTTTTGACATCGAGAAACAAGCAGTTCACAGTAGAACCTTGTTGGTGGTACTCCACAGCTTGGGCAAAACGTTGGCGACGTTTATCAGAAGATCGTACATAGACTGACATACCGTGTACACTCCTTAGGACCGTAGCCAAGTTGACATCGAAAACATCAGGTTGGGTGGTGATGTTGTGCACCGACATGGCATATGTGGCGGCGGAGTCCTCCTCTTCATTGTTGAGTTATCCTTTCCCTCCAAGGACCGTGATTCCATCCATTGCAGCCAAATGGATCACGTGAACTATGCAACCAAACAGCTGTTACTTGTGGTTGAACTCCACATGCTCCATGCGAGGAAGAGCTCGAGCCATAGCGAAGTTTGTGCTGGCATTGTCGGCAGTAATGACAGAGAGGTATCCAACGATGCCATAGTCGGAAAGAACGTTGTAATGCAGTTCTGCAAAAATTTGAGCAGTATGCTCCTCTGCAAAACATAATTGTTTAAGGTAAGAAGAAGATCTGGTTGTAAAATCCCACAGCACCCATGCAATTGGGAAAATGCACTTACACATCACAGCAGGAACCCCCAGCAATAGTTCTTGCATATTCCAATCGGTGTCAATCCAATGGGCAGTGAGCGCCGTCAAGGATTCCACGTTAGGTGAAGTCCAAGCATCGGAAGTAAAAGCGATCCATTCGACCTTACAAAGACTGATCTTGATGAATTAACGGTGCTGAGCATACATTTGGAAAAGGTGATTCTGGATTGCGTCGGCCATGACCATCATCTGGGGTATATTCTCGTTACAGGCGCTTAAAAGGTTGATAAAAGAGCTTCGTTCGATGATGGGGAACGGCAGGTTGACGTCAGCAATGTAGTATCCGATGTGAGTTTTGAGGTCCTGTCCGGTCAACACATTATACAGCATGGATTGATTCAGTCTTTTGCAAATTCAGGTTACATGTGTATCACAAGCTCACCGTCTCGAGAGTTCCATTTTGTAAATACTTCTGAATAGATGCATTGGTCTCGTCCTTCTTCTTCGGATCGCTGAGATTGTGGACCTTTGTCAAGTGCTCGTTCGGGTTATTGGCGCTGCCGGCCTTGTCAAGGTTAAGGGAGCGACCGCATGCACGGCCCGTCCTTCGGTTTGTGACGACTTGGCAAAGCGCTTTATTGGCGTCGACATCAGCCTCAAAATGAGCCCAAACCCAGCTACGTTTGGCACTTTGGGTGGTGGGAGGCGCAAGGGTATCGTTGGTCACGTCGGCACTGGTTTTAGACATGGTGAATGGCAACAGGTGGCGGCAACTAAAGGAAGTGATCGATTCTAGATGAAGTTGGCAAAATGCAAAGTGAATATATTTAGGTCCTTAGTTCACAAACTCCTGTTGCTAGTCTAAGCCTACTGAATTCTTTCTTCCTATACGTTAGTAATCGCCACATCGCGCATTACTAATCGTCTAGTCGCACATTACTAAATCTAGGCGGTGTGTTTCCAACAAACACCTAAACTTACTAAATGTGGGGGACGTCACTGTCTGGCAGGACAGTGCTGGTGAACCCCGGCACACCAGTACCCGAAGGTTTTAACTTTTTATTGCAGTCACTGGATATCGAACCAGTGACCTCTCGCATGGTGCTGCCACACCATATCACATGAGCTACGTGCATCTTACAAAATCAGCCTGCCGAGGCGTTTCTTTTGCAACACTCCCACTCGCCTCGGCAGACCGTGGCGCCTTGATGCCCAACATGGTTCGAAGATACTGGAACTGTGTTGCAGGAATTGGCTTGGTCATTAGGTCAGCCTTCATGTCCTTGGTCGAGCAGTATTCCAGGACCACTTTTACTTCTACCACCTTTTCACGCACAAAGTGATAACGAATGTCGATGTGCTTGGTCCGCTTGTGAAACTCGGGGTTCTTGGCCAAAGCGATGGAACCTTGATTGTCTTCGTAGATCTTGACTGCTTCGTCGCTATTCATCTCGCCGAGTTCATGTAAGAATGCCTTAAGCCAAATTGATTCTTGTGCAGCTTCAGTCAAAGCCATGTACTCGGCTTCTGTAGACGATAGAGCCACGGTGCTCTGTTTCTTGCTTCTCCAGCTAATGCATCCGTTGTTCATCACAAAGGCGTACCCGCTTGTGCTTCGTCTAGCCTCGACATCTCCAGCCCAGTCCGCGTCCGAGTAGCCTTGCAGCTTGTCATCACTGGTTGCTTGGAATTCAATTCCATACGTCCTTGTGCCTTGAATATAACGGAACACCCGCTTAAGCGCTTGCCAATGGGTTGGACAAGGTTCTGCCGCGAACTGACTGAGAACTCCCACTGCAACTGCGATATCCGGGCGGGTCCCCACCATGAGATACATCAAACAGCCGATGGCGTTGCGGTATGGCACATTTGCCATTGTTTCCGCATGCTTGCACCCATCTGCACACATTGACCTTGTCAACTTGAGTCCAGGTTCTTGTGGAGTCTTGACAGGATTGCTGTTTTCCATGCCAAACTTCTCGAGAATATCTTTTGCAAATTTGGACTGACGGACTGAAATCGTGCCGGCTGAGAGGTCTTGATCAATTTCCATCCCGAGGAAGTACTTGAGGTCGCCCAGGTCAGTCATGTCGAAGCGTTCACTTAGCGCCTGCTTAGTTGATTGTATCAGCTCGAAGTTGTTACTTGCGATGACTAAATCGTCAACGTACAGCGCCACGAAGATCATGTCCTGATGATGTCGCTTGACGTAGATGCAGTGGTCAGTTTCGCATTTTCGAAACTTCAAGTCCAGCATAAACTTGTCGATGGTCTGGTTCCACATTCGTGGTGACTGCTTCAGACCATACAGAGAGCGCTTGAGATGACAAACAAGCTCCGGATGATCTTCATCAACGTAGCCATCCGGCTGTGTCATGTAGATGTCTTCATCAAGGTTTCCGTTCAGGAAGGCTGTCTTGACATCCATCTGGTGAAGCATCAGATTGTGCTTTGCCGCCAAGCTGAGTAAGATCCTGATTGACGTAAACTTGGCCACCGGAGCAAAAGTCTCTTCATAGTCGATGCCATGTTTCTGCAGAAAACCTTTGGCCACCAAACGCGCTTTGAACCGCTCGATTGTCCCATCCTTGGTTTCTTTGACCCGAAAAACCCATCGATTGCCGATTGCCTTGCGCCCCTTTGGCAGCGGTACAAGCTCCCAGGTCGCATTCTGGCGAAGGGAAGTTATTTCAGAATCGCATGCCTCTTTCCAGTGGACTGCATCGCTGGATTCCATTGCTGACTTGAACGTTGTCGGCATTTCTCCCACTGAATCCACGATGTAGGCCGTCTCAACGTCGGGACTTTCATGCGCTGTCGCAGACATTTCAGCCATGGTGAGGTATCGACTTGGTCTTTTCGCCTCTGGAGGGTTCGCTAAGGCCTCGAGCGACTGCGTGCGTTGGTGCCTCTTTCCCCTGATCGCATCGTTATTATCCTGCGTAGTATCCTCTCGTCCCGTGTCAGGGTTGTTGGTATAAGCGTACTCTTCTTCAGATAACTGTTCATCTTCGAGGACAGCTTCATCTGGAACGTAGTCACGTCTCCCACTATCGAAAATGTTCTCCATGAACTGTGCGTCGCGACTTACCAGCACACGTCCGCTCCTGATCTCCTCAAAACGATACGCTTTCTCATGATCGGAGTACCCGATGAACCGGCTATGAACTGATCTTGCGTCGAGCTTGGACCTCTTTGGATTGGGCACATGAACGTATGCATGACAACCAAAAACCTTCAAGTTCGCAAGAAGAGGTTTCTTGCCAGTCTATACTTGGTATGGTGTCTTGCCATGGTCCGTAGATCGAGTTGGACAGCGAATGCGTAGGAAGTTCGCGGTCATTACCGCCTCACCCCAATACGACTTGGACATCGCAGCATGTTCCATCATGCAACGCACGCTTTCCACCAACGTTCGATTCATCCGCTCGGCGACACCGTTAAGCTGAGGAGTGTAAGGTGGTGTGAATTTCTGCACTATACCATGGACCGAACAGAACTTGGTCATCATACCGGAGGTGTACTCTCCACCGTTGTCGCTTCGAAGAACCCTCACGCGATTGCCAGTTTGTGTCTCCGCCAGCGCGACAAACTGAGCGAACTTGGTCAATACTTCAGACTTGTTTTGCAGCAGATACACCACACAATAGTGCGAGTATTCGTCGATAAACGTCACAAAATAACGTTTGCCACTGAAGGTAGGAGTGTGCATTGGCCCACATACATCGCTGTGAATGACCTCCAGCAGTGTCGTTGCGCGATCGGGTGACTTCGTCATATAGCTCACCCGTGTTTGCTTGCCCAGAGCGCACCCTTCACATAGCTCCCACTTGTTTACCGAGGTCAAGTTGATTCCGTTGCAGCAATCGTTTTTGACGATAGCATCTAGTCCCCCGTGTCCAATGTGACCAAGTCGAAGATGCCAGAGGTAGGAGGTGGTGCTTGCTTTGCAGGTATTCGAGCTTGCCACGTTGACCTCGTCAGGCAGTTCCGGTACCATACAGAGCTTGAACAGTCCTTTTCCTTCGAGTTCGCCGAGTTTGCACTTGATACCCTTCGTATCAGCAAAGCAACCATCAACCTCGAATGTGACCGGTCCAACGTCCTTGATGAATCGGCCAACAGAAAACAGGTTGCGCGACAACTTTGGGATATGCCACACATCCATGAGCACACCCTTCTTGACCCCTCGGTGAGTCTTCATTGACATAACGATGTCACCTTTTCCAATTGCTTGGACCACACCGTCATCAGCAAGATGCTCATCCACCGGGCCAAAATCCTTGTAGTTCCTCATGAACCTTTTTGAACTTGTCATGTGCTGCGTCGCACCCGAGTCGACCAGCCACATGTTGCTCGACTTGGTCTTGTCACCACCAACCGAGAAAAGATAATCGCCAAGCTCTTCTTCTTGCGCGATATTCGCACGCTGGAGCCTCTGTCTACCAGCGTCTTCTTGGATCCGCGAAGGGCATTCCGCAATCCAGTGTCCTTGTTTTCCACACTTGTGGCACGCACCGGTCTTCTTCATCGGTCGAGCCTTGCGCTTGTTATCTCGAGACATGAATGCTTGAGCTTGACTGTGCGCGGATCCTTCAATTCCGCCACCTTGCTCCTTGCGCTTCATGTCTTCGTGCAACAGCCGAGACGTCACTAGCTCCCACGTGAGGGAGTCGGCTCTCGACTCCAATGCTGTAATCAGGAACTGATACGACTCGCTGAGGCTGGCTAGAAGCGTGATGACCAAGTCGTCCTCGCTGACCGGAGCACCAACTGCGTCGAGCTGCTCCGCCAGAGTCTTGAGTCTGTTGATGTGCTCAAGCACGTCATCACCTTCTCCCATCATTGTCGTGAAGAAGCGACGACGAAGGAAGAGCTTGTTGGCCAAGCTCTTCTTCTCGTAGTGTCCTCCCAGACGTGACCATGCATCATGCGCGTCCTTCGCCGAGCGAACCAGTGGCAACTGTGAATCCTCCATTGCGAGACAGATGATAGCTAGCGCCTTTCGCGACTTCCGCTTGAACGTTGCTTGATCCAAATTGCTGGTGCAGTTCTCGAGCTTGACCTCGCCGCTCACGACGTCCCACAGATCTCGCTCCCCCAGCACCATCTGCATCTTGAACTTCCATGTGTGGAAGTTCGTTCCCGAGAACTTGTTGATGCGAGCTGCGGTGATTGGAGCAGAGTCCATCGAGAAAGCGTGATCGAAGTCTTGGCCAGAGTCAGCGGAGCTTGGGCTCATAACCTAAAGGAAGTGATCGATTCTAGATGAAGTTGGCAAAATGCAAAGTGAATATATTTAGGTCCTTAGTTCACAAACTCCTGTTGCTAGTCTAAGCCTACTGAATTCTTTCTGCCTATACGTTAGTAATCGCCACATCGCGCATTACTAATCGTCTAGTCGCGCATTACTAATCGTCTAGTCGCACATTACTAAATCTAGGCGGTGTGTTTCCAACAAACACCTAAACTTACTAAATGTGGGGGACGTCACTGTCTGGCAGGACAGTGCTGGTGAACCCCGGCACACCAGTACCCGAAGGTTTTAACTTTTTATTGCAGTCACTGGATATCGAACCAGTGACCTCTCGCATGGTGCTGCCACACCATATCACATGAGCTACGTGCATCTTACAAAATCAGCCTGCCGAGGCGTTTCTTTTGCAACATAAACGAGGGCAAATCTGGACAGAGAGAGGGTTTTGTCGTTTTGAGCCAGTGTTTGTTTTTATTTACTTGCGCGTTGCTTCGTCACGAGGCGACAGTGATACTAGTGACACTTGCACAATCGATTCAAATGATGTGCGTTACATTACTATTTGGACAGTTACACAAGAATGACAGAGCACGTATTGCAAATGCACCCCGAAAACCCCCCATTGGGCCCGGGGGGTGGGTATCCCTTTTGGGGGGGGTGGGTATCCCTTTTTGGGGGGTGAGTATTTTTTTTGGGGGGTGGGTATCCCTTCGGGTGGGTATCCCCTTGGGTGGGTATCTCCTTTGGGGGGTGATGTCTTGGGGGTGCCCTCAACCCCCCAAAAAACCCGGGTAGGAGCCCTGGATACAGATTACCCACCGAGTGGATTGATGTCGTAATCGACGCGATGCAGTCGTGTGTTGATTGGTCCACAGCAATACACGATACGGCCTCTTGATTACAGTCTCTCACTTCATCGCTCGAGGTGTGTTATCCTGCTACCGATGATGGAAGAGTTCTTCCAGTACATTGGACCGGACAACGGCGCTGTCCTATCGTCGACGCTACTGAATCAAAACCGTCTGTTCGTCTACTCGACGCCCAGTGAAGCGCAGATCAATCGCTGCGTCCATTTGCCCGTCGGCTCGTACTTTGCGTGCTCCACTGTCCTCTACTACGACGACAATGTGTGGCTGAAAATCCGTCGTGGCTGCTTTTCCAACACGCAGCATAATGGATACATTCGTGTACACTTTGCGTTCCCAACGACGACAGGAGGTCTGCTCGATGGCAGTGACCTGCCGTCCCGTCAGTATGCTGCAGTGGTCGAAGCACAGCCAGCACCGTTTCGGTACATGCGCCGACTTCCAGGTACAGCTACTAACTCCACTACGTCATTGACACAGTCTGCCTCTTGATTTTGATTGACGTGCGTTTGCTATGCAGCTGACCTGTTTGTGGATGTGATATCGCGTTTTGTTTTGACGATATGGCTCTTTATTGCTTTGTTATTCCTGCTGGTACCTCTTGTTGTGGTTGATGATGGACAGCATTTCCGACGTACATGTGTGCGCGTGACCGGCTAATGCTGTATCGCGAGCCAGTGTTTACGCTCCATTCAACGTCCATGTCGTCAGCATCCTCCCGCGGTGCTGCTGGCGGAAATGCCGATCGGGCTACGACGCTGCGTCCAATGCAGCGTTATATGCCGCCCGTGAGCGTGTTTCGAGCTACTGAGTGCCGATTCAATGACGACTTTACGCAATTGGCCATCAAGGTGACGATGGCAGGTGCTGCCGGCGTCGGTGGGTGGATCAATGCGTCGTTCCACAAGACACTGATTGAGGTGGAAGATCCGAGCACGTGCGGGTTTTTTCGTCATGGACCTGTGTACCTGCAGAACGTGGCCGGACGAAGCGGCAAGTGGGCAGGAGAACTGCCAGTTCGAGCAATTCCGAATCTCCAAGCGCCACAGATGTACAGTATCGAGAGCTACCGCGTGGTGCGTGCGATTGAGCGCAAGTTGCTAAAAGACCGCGTGTGGGTACGGATTGAGCCGCTCAAAGCGCAGCAGGAGCTGCAAGGTGGTGTTGACGGAAAGAGCGAGAACAGCGATGGATGTACAGCAGAACAAGGCAATCACGAAGAAGAAGGGCAGGCTAGTAGCGATACAGCAGTAGTTGCAGGGCCGGATGCGTGGGTCATCGAGCGCAATGCAAACACTGCTCAGAGAGTGATGGCGCCATGGGGAAGTACACGTATCCGGAATGCGCCGGCTGACGACGATGTTGAGAGGTACTACCGCACTGTGTACAGTCGTCGGCCACTTCCTTTGCGTCGCACTGCGGATCTGCAAGCTGACATCGTTGGTCATCTTGAACCGGGGTCTGTGTTTGCTTCCACTCAGCGCGTTCTCAATGAAAAGGGACGCATGTGGATTCGAGTAGTTTTGCCTCGAAACCGACCTGTCCATTCCAGCAAAAGAGTCGGTAACGACGTTGATGAGAACGATGCAAATCGTGAGAACGATGCCGCGGAGTCCACACGGAAAGAAGACGATCTCCAAGACGTTGGCCAAACCGTTCAGTACGGCTATGCGATCCAATCGAACGCGAAGACAAACACGTGTATGGTCCAGGAAATTCCTCCGCCGGGAAAGATGACTCCGAAGCAGTACTATCAGATATTCATGTCACCGGACGACACACAAGCACAGATGTCGAGCCCGAGCCACGATGAAGAAGCAGCGGGATGTGCGCCAGAAAACACGTTGACAGCTCGCGCTGAGGCTTCGAGCTCTGCAAAAGAGCTATTTCATGTTAAGAATGGTGCCATTCTGTCTGCCATTGGCGCTGTGTTCAGCGCTGAAGAGGGCCGAATGTGGCTGCAAGTGTTAGCTACGGAATTGGATCCAGCGATGAAAGTGAAGCTTCGACGGGCGCTCTCGGACGTGGAGCAAAACATGAACGTGGTATATCTTCCAATGTGCGATCCGAGTCGAAATGCTCACGAGTGTGTTCTTATGCCGATCCATCGTGAGCTAACTAGGATCGACAATCCCGTCAATGCTGAGAAAGACGGCTCGCAGTCTCCATCGCGGGTCGTGTTTAGTGGTCGCGCATCGAAGCTTTTTGGCTCCCATTTGCTGCGCCCGTCTACGATTGACCTGCCGTCAGCATTTCATGCGAAACCCAGCAATTGCGAATCGCTGAGTAGCGGTATCACGGCCCATGATCCAACTATAGGTGAGACCGACCGTGCGCAAAGTTTGAAAGAAGAGATCACCGCGTGGCAACTGCAGACTGGCAATCGCATGACTCAGCTGTACACACAAGTTGGATCATTGGCCGGCTACACGATAAGTTGTGTGGCTCGCCCGTTCGCTTCGTGCTTGGCGCATCAGGAAGCAAAACGTCGGTATCAAGAATTGGAACAGGATGGGGAGGAGGAGGGCATGGAGGAGTATGCGCTCGAAGACGAAGGCGATGATTTGGAGATGTGAGCTACAACCGCTTGAACGTATTTGTTAGGCCCTGGCAAGCTTTGCGTTGTAGGTGAACAGGTGCAGTTGAACTGGTCCATAGGTTTTTGGATCCTCAATGTGGTAGCATAGTTACAGGGTTAGTGAGCCAAGTGCAGGCAGTGTCGCTTCTTTGTGTGATTTATTTGAACATGAGCCAAGTTGTGACTACCATGGCGATACAAATTGTGCACCAGAGAATATGTTCAGACGACAGATGTGCTATTTTTGTCTATTTTGCTCATCAAGATAAACTTAGTTGTAGCAAAAACTAATGATCTGACGATCGAGACGATATGAATGTGTTTTGTAATGTTAGCTTGGTCAGCAGTCCTATTTTTGTAGCGACTGAAATGCAAAGGTTGGCACATAACATGGTTTTTTTCCATCAGTTTTTTTTGTTTTTTTTAAAAAAAACGGCTAATTGGGTTCGGCGGAAATTTGGTTTTTGGTTTTTTTTGGGCCCCTGATCGTCGTGCTCAGGGAATTATTGACCCCTGAAAAGTGTCGGTACACATATGCCTCGGCATGGAATTCAGCAGAAGAGCTTGTAGCTCAAGTGGTACGGTGTGGCAGCACCATGCGAAGGTCACCGGATCGATCTCTGGTGACTGCGGTGAAAATTAAAACCTTCGGGCTCTGGTGTGTCGGTGTTTACCAGTACTGTCCTGTCAGACAGTGACGTCCCCCATGTTAAGTACAATTAGGTGTCTTTTAGTAACACACTACCAGAATTAGAAGCGTACAACTGGACGGACAGTAATTTGCGACTAGACGATTAGTGATGCACGACGAGACGGTTAGTAATGCACGACGAGACGAGTACTAACGTAGAGGGAGAAAGAATTCAGTAGGCTTCGAGTATCAACAGGTGGTTGTGCACAATGGACCTGCATTTATTAACTGAGCGTTTTGCTTAACTTCGATCACTTCATTTAAAAACGCCACACTCCTTAATTTCACGACCTTCCTTCAGCCCTAGTTAGTACGAGACTCAATCGACGATTGGAAATGATCTTCTACTGGTCAAAGAAGGGATCCTCGGCGTCGACTGTAGAACACTAGACAAATACTTTCCTTTCCTCACTTAGAAACTCAGCTCCCGGTATATCGAATTTCAACAATGTCCAGCTACAACCTTAGCTTCTTCATTGCCAGCAGTAAGCGTACGGTCGGCAGTGTCAGCCCACGGCACAACGATGGTGCCCTGCGCCTATCCACTTCAATACCATAGACTCCGCAATGATAATCAGCGATAATGAAGTGCGGGAGCAATACGACAATGAGAGCAATATGGAGGACATAGACAACGAACCGCGCAAGAAGCGTGGCCGCCTTCAGAGCAATGTTTGGCAACATTTCACCACCGCCAGTCAATCGCAGAAGTGCAAGACGAACATCTGCGAGCATTTCAAGACCCTGATCAACTACCACAAGAAGAGCGAGATGGTCAAGATACACCTCAGCAATTGCGGACCTTTCCGAAAGCTGATGAATGGCATGGAAGACGTAGATCTCCCGGACTGGTATCATCGGAACAAAAAGCCGACGCGTAAGGCGAGATCTGCATTCCTATCCAATGCCAGTTCGAGCCAGCAGACTTCGATCAAGCACTTCACACTGCCTACGCTCTCCGAGGCGGCCAAGGCCAAGTTTCAAGAGCAGATCTCTCTCCATTTCTACGCGACCGGGAGTTCATTCTAGCGCTTTAAAGATGTGCATTTGAAGGAGGCCACCCGTTTGCTGCGTCCTGACGAAAACATACTCCCAAACAGCAAGTGGCCAAGATCAACGCTTCTCGACAGTTGCCACGCTGAGCTTTTGGCAAAGGTCGATAAGAGTTTGGCTAACAGTACGATGTGCCTGACGACCGATGGCTGGAAAAACGTCAAAAACGATTCTGTCATTAACTACATGGCCGTTTCGCCTTCCTGCAGCCTGTTACTAGAATCAGTGTAGACTATTCAGCAGGCACGCGACTACAAGTTTATCGCCGAATACATCGCTCACGCAATATGCCGCCATGACAAGACGACTTTTGCAGGACCCGTGACCGATAATACCAGCGCTACCAAAAAAAGCGTGGAAGTTCCTGCGTGAAAAGTTCCCATCGATGTGGTTACAGGGATGCTGTGCGCACAGTTTGCACCTTTTTGTAAAATCCATATTTGGAGCTACCAAGACCAAGCAACGTGGCATCAGGGACACAACCTATCCCGATGGCTACATGTTTGAGATTCTGCATGACTTTGTGGAAGATTGCAAGAATTTCGTCAAGTTCTTCCGCAACCATTACATCCCGAAGGCCCAGCTTTGCGATCTTCAAAACTCCAATGGTGCTCCCATGCTCCAAAGAGCGGTACCAACCCGTTGGGTACAATTCAGGCAATGGCCAAGACACTGCTTGCGTCAAAACGAAATCTGTACGCGCTCGTCTCAGGGCGCAATTTAATTCAGGGAACAGCAAGCCAAATAGAACTGCGGGCCGAGGTACGCACCACCGTCACTGATGAGAGCTTGATCGAAAATCTGGAAAAGATCTTGGCGATTCTAAGCGCACTAGATCGATTCATCGTCAAGTATTAGTCGGACAAGACCCCAATCGCAGAGGTGTTGCTCGACTTTCTCAACCTGCAAACGGACTTTAAACATATCACAACAACAAAATCATCATCACGAAGGAACAGGACTACATAATCAAGCTTGCCGAACAGCGCATGGATTTCATGCATGGCGTAGCGCACGGCGTGTCTTACCTGCTCGACCCGGTCCTCCTTGGTAGAGGCACGCTTAGCGCCAATCGTTGAAGTTTGGAGGACGCGCTTGTCAACAAACCTATTGACGATGAGTAGCCTGTGGACGATGTCCATGGAAGGCAAATTTACTTGGAATATACCAAGTTTAGGATTGCGGCAACATATAAAAAGGCCCAAAATTCATTTCAATTTCAGCTCCTTGTTCGAGCGAAGCAAGACTCCATTATAATGGTGGCTGACCGACGGTGGGGACTATCCAATGATCCAGAAAGTCGCCATTAAACTTTTCAGCATGACCACCTCGACCGCTGCATCTGCGCGCAACTTCTCAACAATGGGATTCATCCATTGTAAGCTCAGAAAAGCTTGACTATTGATACCGTCAGGAAGCTTGTATTCATCAAGTCAATTTTGGAGCTTTCTACGACTCACCAAAAGCAGAAAGTGACAAGTACGACAGAAACACTGAAAGCGACATTGATGAAAATAAACTGGCGTATACCATTGGATATAGTATCGACTCCATTTAAAATAAAACTATACTAAAATCGGGTTTTTAGTATTAAAACCAAAACCCCGATGTATCGACCAGAAAAAATTGTTTTTTTCTCCTATCCTTTCCATCACAGTGGACAATTGACAGTCTTGTCATTAAAATCTATCCGGTAGATTTAACGCCAGTCTTCTATGTTAGAGGATATCGTTTCTGACAGGTCATAGCAGATTCGAGGTTCTAGTGCAAACCCAGTTTAAGGTAATATGCGACGTCACCTGATTGGTTGTTTATGTGACATATTGATAGACGGGGATGTGGATACGGTCTCCACATGGGGTCAGCATGTGTCTTGATAGTGATTTGTGGGAAGATGAGGTGCGATCGTCAAATGCGACTTTACATGGTCAAGTCGTAGTGCCGGTAAGAATGCAGGTTGTAGTGTTGACGGAAGAGATAAGTTTACCATAATATACCCTACTTTTACTTTTTAAATCTTCTGCACAAGCGTAAATCGATAAATACCGTCTTATATTGATTTGTCTATTCTCATCGTATCTGCTTCAGGCAAAAAAGTATATATAGTGTTGCCAATGTGTTTCTTCTGTCGTATCATGTAACAGGTACGACGTCAGCGCGTCAAACTTTATACGTAAGCAACACAAAGAATGTACGCAGTAACAAATACTGCAAGTTGTAACATTATCTTACACTACAACTAATATTGTACGCGGTTTTATCGTACGCAGGTCTTGTAAAACATCAGAATTTGTACCGGGCTATGACTATGCTTTGAAGTCATTATCCGCCACGCAAATTTGCCGAGCCGGTCCACCAAGAAAAATTGGTAACGAGGTTGTTGTTAGAATCTACTCTTTCTGACAGGTCAAGAAGGTCAAGTGCAAGACCTAGTACAGGTATGTCCGACCTCACCTGATTGGCTGAAAGTGTGTCAGAATGACAGATGGGACGGAAGAGACGGGCGCCATGTGATAGTACAACACATGGGACCAAGAGAAACAGACGTCATGTGACAGGATATCACATGGGACGGGGAGAGACGGAGACCATATGCGACTTAACATAGTCAAGTTGTAGTTTCCGTTACTGGTCGTACATATCGTAGTGTTGAAGGAAGTAGCTCTTAACACTCAGTATATTTCACTTTTACTTCTTAATACGTTTGCACAAGTGCAACAACTACAATCTTACAGTTTTGTTCTTAGTGTCAATGCAAGCCTCTGGCAATTTGTCTACTTCGATCCACCTTCGCTGGTATTGTGACCTAATTTGCATCAAGGACACATCGCTACAACACAGATTATAACAATTGATGCAACACGCCACACGAAAAAGAATATATCGACATCGTCGGGATTATACGATTACGTTCTTCATCAAGTTGGTCACCTGCGTCTTTTCATTTCTTGCCCACTATGTCTCACAATATTTTGTTAAATGTCAAACATGGCCATGTAATCTTACAAGAAATGATGGCCATCAGCTGAGAAGTCTACTGTATCGAACAGGTGTAAGTGAACACCGTTTGACATGACATTGCGTCTAGAAATTGCATCGTTACCTGCAGTGCTTTGCTAGACCGTCGACTTGCTAAATTGTGCACAATCTGCATCTGTGGGAACTAGACTGCCCTTGCCATTACGTGAAGCCAAAAAAGACCAATGCATTCTCATTTACAGCAGAATCACATCTACTGCATAGCGCTAATGATG